AATATCTGTGAGTGCATGATGTATGGACGTCGTCGCTGTATTGCCTCGACATCAAGCCAAAAAAGCTTCCACTTTGCGCAGCGACATTCATTCTCAGGTCAGGCATTTTCACCGCCTGGCAGAAAACGGTATTTTGGGACGGTTGTTGACACCCCCTGAACAGTGTAACAAGATTATCCCTACATATGCAACATATTTAAATTTGGTTGTTTAGGATTTCTTCAAATTTATGTTTGTGCTGTTTCCTCGATTTTAGCTATTTTCACCGGCTCGCACAGAGCCCATAGAAATACATGGTAGAGTGGTGCGCGTCTCGTGACTTTGCCCGCCTTGAAGATTTTGAGAGCTTTCCAAGCGCGTTGTAGAAAGAAGCAATATGATTGGCTGTTGGTAAACTGATTCTAAACTGTGAGGGCATTGTCACATACACATAGTCCCAATGAAATACTTCAAGGTGATAGTGGAGTGCTTCGCCGGAACATTCACCTTGAAAATTCAAGATGATGCGGCAGACGGCCATAGAGTGTCGTTGTTTACAAATAGGCGTCTACCCATAAACCTCTGCGTTTTTAACGTGCGTCGCTGTCGTCGCTTGGTGACCCAATTATCGCGCGTGTGCAGGTGGCGACCCCTCCGCTTTAAGCGCGGTGGTCGTCGCGCAGCGCGTGTTCGAATTTCTTGTTAAAGGGGAGCAGATGTGTGGCTAATGCCCTAAATGAATGAATTGTGTCGATAAAAACAACTTGTATGTGCTGCGAAATGCCCTAAATATCGGGTATAAAACGGGCTGTGAAGCAGACGACAAACGTCCGCTTTTCCTGGCGTCATTTCGCCTCTAGAGGGCCAGTCAAATGACGTCATCAGTGAACACTGATAATTGAACCCATTCATGCTAGTATGTCAATCCCATAGAAATGTTACTATGAAAGACCTTGTTAACTGACTACTTAAAAGTTGAAACATGCCGAAATGTTGTGCGTATGAATGCCATAACGATTCATGTTAAGTTTCTCGAAATCCCAAATAAATAATCACATTGTTGGTTGCGAGAAATCGGCAGAAGAACTAACCTGAAAATGAAGACACGTACAGCGCTCTAGCTATAGTAAACAGTGAGTAAATAAATATTGTTTGAGTTAAAAACTAGATTAGAAATACGCTAATATCACTTGAACTACAGTAATCATTTCGCCCAACTTCCCACTTTTAATCGACCGCTTATCGCTTAATTTCCGACCGCACTGTATTTTTCGACCGAAAAAACGACCGCATTTTTATCGTAATTTTTCTCTCACCGACCTATTGAAAACACCGACCGGTCGCCCAAACACTGGTCACTTGCACAGGAGTGATCAAAATAGTGGTTTTGAGTGGTACAGTTTGGGGATACAACGGGTACTAACTATTTTTAAATTCCGAACTACTCTTCAAATCTATACCACATTGTATCAATCGCGGACGAAACTTCACCCGTGTTCAATATTAAATAACTGACTTTGCGTAATTATTATGAAAGCGATATATTACAATGTTGAAATTTTTAGAGCCGGTACAACATTGTAAACAAATCGCCGCGCAGTAAGTTACGCAAAGAAGTTCCAGTTCAATTGCATCCCAAAATGATGTCGTTGATCACTCAGTCTTTTGCAAAATATTATAACTAGTTTCCAAGCTTTTGATGCAGCCAGATTTATTTAACTTTGTGGAAATATGATCTTTTTAATTTCCCAGTCATTTCTGTTCATTCATTGTCTTGACAATAAGTGTGAATTGCTGTGCGAGCTTTTCGTACCCGACCGCTGTCAGACGGCGTCATGAAAT